CGAAAAATGTAAATGACGATCAACTGTTTTAAAGGGACAATAACACTCTTGCTGGCTTGACAGCTCCAGTAAATAAATATCAGCCTTATTTTAAGTATTAGATGTTTAAGCGTCCTACCTGTTGTGTAAATTATCCATTACATCCTATTTTACTTGTCCAGAGGGTTCGAAAATATTTTTAAATCCAAGTCACATTTGAAAAGGTTTACGTTAGGCTTTTCAGATCATTTAGTTGAATTTTTCCAATTTTTTAAATTAGGTGTGTTAAAATTCAATTTGTAACATCAATTAATTGGAATATTGTAAAATAGTACAATTTGTTGACCAGAATAAAGATTGGGACATATTATTCTGTTACAACAAGAGTGGTATTGAGCCTTTAATTATGAGAACTTGGTTTTCAGAAGTCAAACCTTATGGGCTGAAGAAGTAAAAATCACTTAAAAGCTCTAAACCTCTTTGATCTGGGAATAATAAAGTACTGAATAAGTCTGGCAAGCCCCACTGTTAGGGTGACCCATGTACTCACAGAAATACAGTCCACCGCTGATAGTTCGAGACTACCACTGAAGCCTGCACATTCGCCGTGCCGAGACCAACTTTCTGACAGTATGATACTATAAATAGCCATGGCACGTGCAATTCTCTACAAATCTATCAACTATTACAGCCGTAAAAAATTTATTGTTGACGATTTTGAATAGCAGTTAAATTAAGCTTCTTGGTTATTACAGCAGATTTAGAAATTACGTTCGTTTCATTTTTTAAATCGCTTTATCATTAACTGTACCGTTAAGAGTGGCATCTTTTGGTTTAGTACAAATAATATCTCTGAATCACTCGGGTTAGGCAGGAACATGATACTAGCAGTAGTTTCATTTTACTTTTACAAGCTTCTTAAAACGATTGTTGAGCTACCTAACGTCCTTATTTCTAAATTCAATTTCTTGTTCTAGCTTTCTGTTACGTTTCGTAAAAAAGTAGTCTTGATTATCCCGACCTGTCAATGGTCGATAGACTGGTTAAGCGAGACTAATTTCAAAACAAGGGCACGTAACCTATCTTTTACTCAAAAGTGTCTGGATGTTATGGACGACTCTTGGAACCAGTTTTCAGTCTATTATTTATACATGATTAATGGTCATAGCTTTTTAAGTACAACATGATCGTTTATTTAGTGACTATAATTGTGTGAAACTGATTTGAGGCTTGGCATATATATAAATATTGTGGCGTAATTGTCGAGATATATGGAGATATTTATTTATGGTGGGTCACCCTACCACTGTGTCGAAATTAGACCACAAAATCGCTTATATCGCGAAACTGGTTTTATCTTTGAACTGTACAACCTTCGGTGAAGGAAAATTTAATTTGCATCCCACAAAACAAATCAACATTTAAAATCCAATGAAAACCTAATCAAATAGGTTTTGTTATTGTAATGAGATCTACATACTTGGCCATTGTCTCTCGTCTGGTTCTGTTGAATGGTGGAGACCTATAGCTGTTTTCCATAAGTATGTGTTATAGTTTATTGTTCTACCCAGTTAATAAATGCCTCCAAATGAATATAACTAATTCGTTTCATTTTATTGATCCATTGTTGTAATAAACGTATTTCATACGCGACGAGACTGTTGTATGACTTGGGTCTTTCTTGAAACTTAAATTGTTTATAAATTGGCAGTAAGTCCAAAAAAGGGGTTTTAAGTACATGTATTATGTTGTTAAAAGATTCCATAATTGTAATAAAAGTTGAAAGTGCTAGACCATGTCGCTTGCCTTTGGCTGAATGGGTACCACGTGACTAATTAACCTGTTCTTAATTAAATTTGACCTGTGTTTAATTAATGTGGAGATTATTCTCATCGACATGCTAATATAACTATTTACATAAGATAGCTTTAATGGTCTTAGATTATCTTAAGGCTGGCATTGATAACCTGTATACGCTGCTTACAATGTGTGACTTATTAAAGTCGAAATAGTTGTTTTGGGAAGGAGTTGATGCTTTTGTCGGGTTACTAAATCTCCATACTTATTTTCAAATCTTTATCTATTAAATATATGTCTGATATATATCTGTATTGATAAACAGATTTTTAAGAAGGGGTATCTGTATGTATGTGTTAATTTATTGACCCATGGTTATGTCATATTTAGGTCGCTGTAGATCATTGTTGTAGACGCTCAAATTGGCAAACGTATTGTATTACCTGGACATGAAACCACTATCATTTTCTTTACGCTGTATCATTCAATGTGAAACCTTTCTATTAAATTTGGAGTGACTTACGCTTTATCATTCAATGTGAAACCTTTCTATTAAATTTGGAGTGACTTAGGGAAATGTATATCTCCTTTGATTGTTATCCCTGGATATGAGCGTTTTTGGCTAGGAGATAGGGGTTCCTTCTCAACCCTATGGGTTTACCCCAGTTTCTTCCCACGGGAAGGGTTGGGTGTAGTTAGTGGTTTAACGCATATGCGTGAAAACACAGGTCTATCATCATTGGGGCAAGCGCGTGGTTTCGATTCGCCGCTTGTACGTGACAAGGAGTTGGGTCCTCCGGTTTCCTCCCACTGCTAAAGCCCCTACGCGCAATCGAATTGTAGAAATAAAATTGAGCTCTCTCTCTCTCTCTCTCACTCTCTCTCTCTCTGGGGGTTTGGATGGCCGAATGGTTAGCACGTGCGCGCTGTATCATAAAGCCTATCATTGAGTCAACTGGCGTGGTTTCGAATCCCGGGTTGTACGTGACAAGGAGTAGGGTCGCCTGTCCAACCTCGTGGGTTTTCTCCGGTTTCCTCGCACTGCTAAAGACCCCTACGCGCAAGCGAAATATTGAAATAAAATTAAACCATATGTTAGTCCCAAAATGACCTAGTTTGTGTCTAGTGGAGTTAAACCCCCATTCCCCTCTCTATCTCTCTCTCTCTTTCTCAGGAAAGGCCCTGTACATTCACTGAATTAACTAAAGTTTTTCTGCGGTATCAGTGAAAGGGGACGTTACGTTAAATCCCCTCAAAACAACAACGGTACTGGCTAATGTTCATACATTGATTGTTACTATGATTCGTTGATATTGAAGTATATAATGTAGGGTTAAATTAGAATGATATATGGGTATAGATATAGTTAAAGTACACGACGCCAAGTGATAACCTAGATAAGTACTTATATGTTATGTATACTATAATATATGAGAGCTTTGGACCTTCACAACGTAAATATACATACTTATTTCTTGTTTTTATTTTTTATTTATGTTTTTTTTTAACTTGCTTGACGACAGCGTTGTCACACACGTATAGCTAAAGACAAAATGACAAGTTAACAATGGTGCTGTATTTTCATGAATAGTAATAAGGATTTAAAGATGCTCTTGACTTTGTCAAACTATATTTATGGATGGATATACAATTTCTATATATTATTTGCACGTATTTTATGCGTCCTGTTATTCTCTTAAATTACAGTGCGATTAGGTAATATATGTTGCTTTAATGAAGAAAATAGCTGAATGTGAAACAAATACATAATGACATTAGTTTTTCAAAAAATAAACAAATAATTGTAGCCTGTGGAATAAAAGAACAGAATTTTTTCAGATTTACTCGAATTGTTTTCTCGTTGAGATTTGCGTACACCTGTGGTCTATATAAATGGGTGCTGTACAAAATGACCGAAAATGACACACAAATAAGAAATTAAAAACAGATATACATACCTATCTATATGTTGTGTCTCTTCATAAGATTAATTAAAGGGCATGATAACACCATGACTAAAAGCGTTATATACCTATTATTAATTATAGCACTGTCCGGCTACTATAAGAATTAACAAAAACAACTGAAGTTAATTAGCACGTCGTAATGAGAAACGAACTCATTGTTTTCTTTCTGAAAATGTTGCGCGATTTAACTATAATGATTGCCGAGTGTCGTACAAAAAGCAGACTTTGTATGTTTGTAAAAGTGATGCTACCCTTCTGAATGTTTCAGAAAGTCAAAGAGATAAGAAAAAGTCAAAGAGGTAACAAAAAGTAAAACACAATAATATATTTATTTTCTTTCTTACCCCCCCCCCCCCCTCCCCCCCAAAAAAAACCACGGAAAAACTGTTGCTTATTTTAAAACGCCTTTTCAGGCAGCAAAATAATTACATAGTTATGACAGAAATGGTGGATAATAAAATGATTGAAAAAAAAAATCGCATGTTTCACAATAGATTTTTATGATACATAACATTATGCTAATACTTGACTGGGTTTTAAACTGGAACCATGTATCCTTCACTTTCTAGCATAGATTGGTTCATTATCCAATAGTATGCTGCTCATGTGAGAAAACAGACAGAATGCTGACACAGCGGCCCCCTTTTACCCACCGGTCCCAGCCCATCTGACATTGCCCAAATCCCCATTACGTCAGTTCTCCCCTGCGTATATTGTTTAAAATTAAATAGTTAAAGAACTTGTAATTATTGTTATTATTAAGTTTAATACCATGTGTATCATATGGTTTGAACTTATATGATTAAGGGGTAAAACAAGGTTGGAATGTATATCGGTTACGTTTCATTACTGATAGTTATGACATGATCATTTCCAGCGATATTGGCTATAAACACGGTTCATTTGGAAATCTGACAATATGTGATGATAAATTGATTGCGATCGTCTGAACTTCACCCACAGGGTCACGTAATACTCAGCTATAAGAACATCATGCCGTTTGTTTGGTCGGTTACATCATTACTTGACGGTAGACTGCACTGGAAGGATTACTCAAGACACTGTTGAATCGCTCTATGTGGGTATAACGTACACAGAGTTTCATCGGCTCATTGGACAAATTCGGTCATGTGACACCAGCACAAAGGTCGCGTCAGCTAAAAGTGGTTGACATACATGTATTAAAGTTTCAGTCACGGAACAGACCACAGGTAGTGGAAAACTCAAACTCAACTTCTCTTTATTTTTTTTAAACAGAAAGTGACCAAGGAGTATCTAAGATAAACTGGTGATGTGGTAAAGGCCATTAGATAAGAATTAAACTCAACAATGTCGTAAGTTGAAAACTTTTTTTTTTTTGAACATTCTACAAAAAAATCCACTTGTTTTAGGCTCATTATATAAACAATGAAATGACACGTATTTCGTTTGTACCCGTGTATTTTCACAAAAACAATGAAAAAAGTCATTCCGGTTCTCTTATATTCTTATACGCATTTTAACAAAATTATTGTAACATTGGAAAATAAATTTTAACGCAAAACTTCGTGACGTAATCCACAGATGTGACATGCTTAGATACACCGATAATAGAAAGTTTTTACATATTTCATTGAACACCTCGACAGGTACTTCTTATCTTAACAATAGACATTTACATAATCGAAAACCAATATTTAGCACATAGTCAGAAATGTGAAAATTAAGCGTAAAAATTCTTTTTATAGAAGTTCAGTTATATAGACGTTATATAATATGTCTAGTCTTTTATCGAGATATTTTTCACTCTAGACTTTACCCTTCGTTTAACCTCCGCAACAAACTATGTATTTAATACACCCACAATTTACAACTAAATTACAGAGCAGTCTTCGGGCCTGAGTATAATATTTAATGACATAGTTACTTGTAACCTTAATCGTGTTCAGCTTCATCAAAAAGGTTTGACGCATAATTGATGAAATCGCAATCTGAACTTTGACCTTCAAATGATGACTACTATGATATGATATACTACTTTTGATTGACGTATGTTTTTGCATGATGTTAGGGAGGTGATAGATGTATGCCTCTGCATATTTTGTTGAACTGCGTCAAGCTTGCATCCCTACGTGTCCTGCTGATTGACGTTCTGACATGTTAATATTTCATCATCAGTATGCGTGGCGTTCTACATGTGCTGAGACTATTGCCCTACCACATCCAACAATATGCACAATATGGTACATGACCATTATCTACAAATTGATGTCTATTAATCAAACATAGAGCAATTTAAATGACATGCGAAAATACGCCCATTAAATTTAGGCCTCTCAAGCTACTATCTGTAGAAGACTGTATCCCCCGAGCAACATTCTCTATTTTCTTTTTTTGTACATTTACTACCCTGAGGGCTTACAAATATCTTGAACTGACTCCGACCTGAGATGAAACCCATACGAATTATTGTTCATTTAAGTTAAATAGAGATGGTCACAAATGCTGACCTTGTCGAACACCGCAATACATTTTAAAGTTAAGTGTCTACTATATGCCTCTTTAACACAAGTATTATATACATAAATAAATAAAAAATACGTCCAGGTAAAAAGTTCACCACTTTACTTCATTCTGACATACATTAAATCATATCAGCTAGCTGTCTGCCCTCTACAGGCGTCTTCAAATATTAATAATACACATATCTGCATATGACTATATATTAAAGAACGCGATTTCGCTATTGATCTTTGTCATGTAGGGGAGATAATGTATGGGTCTCATAAAATTCACAATACTCACAATACAGTAACGCATCCCCACGCTCTTAACTTCGCAATTTGGTTATACACAACCCGTCAAACACATATACAGATCTTTTCTATAACAGTTTGAGATGTCTTTATATGCTTGCTGTGATGTTTAAAATTAAGAACTTGAGCTTACATCAGTGCATTTCCCAAACTTTATATGGTACACTACCTCCCTACCATACCCAATATCAGGTGTATAAGATGTACTGAATTTCACTGCCACGTTTTGTTTTTTTCGACAACATTGTTGTCATTTTGAACAATATATCTGTTCAATTTTAAAATCTTTTTATTTGAGCAACATCCAAAGTGTACACATCATTTGCTTTATCCTAGCATCGATTTGGAAAACAAATCGTGTTATTTTTATCTTGCTACGAAATTCCCGTCTCCTGGAACGACTATCAATTGGAATACATGTGTATGTGTAAACATGGAGTTTAAACAAACGTGGTATTAGGGGGAGAAATCGGGTGTAAACATTTGAACACATAAAGCGTTTGGATTTTCTTAAACAAAGCTGAACCGTCTATAAATTCTGACAAATGTTAGTGAACAACTGATCATGTCTTCTTTGAGCGGCATTTAGCAATTGACATACGTAATACAAAAAACATAATATGGAACACAATCACTATTTTATTTAAAGCGACGTTTCGTTGAGGGTTCTCTCAACGTTTTCAAGCTTGAAAACGTTGAGAGAACCCTCAACGAAACGTCGCTTTAAATAAAATAGTAATTGTGTTCCATATTATGTTTTTTGTATAACTGATCATGTGTATACATTGTTTCATACAGTTCTTCATCATAATTCTATATAAACGATCCGAAATCGATTGATTTAAAACATCGAAGAAAACGAAAGTATTTATTATAATCGACTTGATACACCCCAGGGGCTACCTTATTACATCTTTCGATTGTAAAATTGAGAATATGATTTTAGGGAAAATTTCTTTGTACTTAACTGTCTGCGTGTTTACTTGTACATTAATTGAATAGGGATTGTCGTAGTTGGAACCCTTGATAAACACCGTATAGTATTTTGAATAATAATAATAATATGGTTCGCTTGTACAATGACACTTTAAAAAAGATCTAACATATTAGGCTTTTAAATTTTACAACATGTTCAATATGTAAAATACAAAACAACTGATAATTAAATATATCTATTTCATGCAATTAATCCTTGTTTATCCCCGATTTAAGGGATTATATAAAGTTAACTGGACCACCGGTATTCACATGGTTTTTTCGTGTCTGATTAACTATAATTCTGTCTGTAATGTGTTTATCATAATACATAATTCTAGCTTTGTGCTTGTTTATTACGATTGATATATCAGTATCACACATAATTAGAATAACTGATACATATTATTACTATTCTAGGAATTGTTAGTATATACGAACCCATAACATTTGTAAAACTTATAATTAATTGTTTGCCAATCTAATGGCTTACTTGTATACAAGGACTTGCCATTCTAATTTCTAAATTATTTAATTCCCCTTTTAATTCTTACAAGGTTTACCTGAATTAACAGAAAATAATGCATATGTATAGCCTATTAACTTAAGTACATAATTATAAACAGTGCGCTTTGGTGTGCATGCTCAGACATATGTATATGTGCTGTATTTAGTATAAGTAGATATTGCTTTATTGTTTTTTCCTTTGACAGTTTTAAGCTGTTTTATTACCCGAAGCGATATCTCCCACTATCGTCTAAACCCTAAATGATCCGGTGTGAATATATTGAAAATAATTTTAGTTACACAAAGTCTAATATAAGTGTGATCTATATACCTACAACTTCTTTACCTATATATTATGTAAATATCAAGAATTGGTAGAGAGCTTTAAAGTGGATGAAACTCAGTATGTCATATATTTGTATGGTAGACAAGTTTAAGCTGCATCCCCAGGCAGTAACCCGTTACCTTTTTCCACCTGAGTGATTTTAATTTATTGTCTGGCCACAGTGTCTAAATAACCATCTCACCCCTTTATTGTCAAGCAAGTGGCCCACGTTGGCGGCGTGGACTAGATATCGACGTCCAATTGTTTATGATATGCGCTTGATTTCCCTGTTAACGCGCTTTTATATCCCACAGAATAGATTAGATTGGTCACTCAAAGGACCTGCCAGAGAATAGTGAAAAACCTAACAACTGCACGACAACAAGCTACAGTTGAAGTCAACCACGTCGAGATGGTCGTGAGAAATCTCATAAGTTATGTCATCAAAGCACTTGACTCTCGACTTGAATCTCCCGTTTCCAAATCCCGGTTTAAATTTACGTGCACGTAAAAGAATGTTTGCCAAAAAACAAATGACCCAAGTAATGTGTTGAGATGTTAAACCCCATTCTTCTGGATCGGTCATTGACTTGCTTGTATCTGTTTTAAACAAAGGATTTCGACAATGGTTTAAAGTAGCTGATTCTTCGTAAATATTCTAACGTTAGTCACCCGTGACTGACTTGTGCCCCAAGAAGTGTTAAGCGATGGGGATCTACACATGGCCTCCGGAATTCAAATGTCAAAATTTTGAGGAATAGGTTGCGTTTACCGAGAGGACAAAAAGTTGATGACTTTGCCCCGAGCGAAAATAAATAATAGGATACGTATACATGTACCTATCTTTCGTCAGTCATAAATTTATCGTCGCATCACGTCCTATATCCCATATTTAAAAAATACAAAAAGAGAACCTTTTACAGTGACTTTATCAGCCAAAATCATTTTACAGATCATTTTACTATAATTTATAAAGAATATCCTGGAATCCTGAAAGTAATTGAAAGAAACCAACTGTCGCGAAATAAAATCATATCCGTTTTGGGGACCATCCCAACCGATCACCGAGTGCAAACCTGGTAATCATATATATATATGTATATAATATCCGCTTTATATACTATTATTCTATTGTAAACATAAACACGTGAAATGTGATTGAGAAACGGAACCCGGGAAATAGCGAACTTTTTTTTTTCTTGATCTAATGCTAGGTTCTCACGATTTGTGCCATGATTGATTTTAATCGTAGAGTAATCGTGGTGATCCTATCAGGTCTTATCATATATTGGGGTCAGTCATAGCGATCCTGTGGGTCGTATCGAAACGTATCCGCACGTAGCAGATCGTCGTAACGCTTCGCACGACAGTGGGAACCCTGGCATTCATTTTCCGGTCATTGGTATCCTCTGATTGGTTGGTGCCTTATGGTTATTGGGTGCAGACTTCAGAGGCGTACGGGTCATGGGATGTTGGTGTATGTTGGGCGCTGTGGTGGGGATGGGGGTATTACTGACTTGGAGATAATATTATAAATTTAAGAAAATCTTTACTCTCAAAAGTACGTGGTGATTTTACGGTTTAGACTACCTTTTACTATGATAGTGCAAAATATATTTTTTGAATAATTGTTTCACTAGTCACTCTGCTATTCAGACAAATTTATTACTACTTTTATACTTATTATATTTTTCGCGTAATTTAATAATTTTATGGACGACAATCTATATAG